ATCAATAATTAATGACGTGGCTGACACGTGGCATACCGGTTTACTAAGTTATTTGGTCGATTTTTTTTTATTTCAGGTGATCAAAACGACGTCGTTTTGATATTTCTTTTAAAAATGCATTCAATAAGACTTGAACACATGACCTTCCAAGTAAAGGGTTTACCACCAAACCCACTGAACTAGAGACATTTATTGACTTTAACAAACTAAAAATATTTGGGAAAAATGTCATAAAAAGCACGAACTTTCAAATTTAGGCCATTTTAAGCATGAACTCTAAGGTCGGCCATTTGAGGCATGAACCTTCGTTGACTTTCCGTTTAAGGCATAAAAAAAAATTGACTCGGCCAAATCGAACACAACGTTAAATCGCATAACAGAGAGACTAAACCTCGTTAAGCCGACGTTAATGTCTCTGTTAGTTACTAAACGCCGACGTTTTCTAGGACACCGGAAGAAGGGTCTCCCTGGGTTTTCTTCGGTGTTTGATGTGTAGATGACAACACCTCTTCCACAATGACACTTTGATGGAAAGCCGCGTAAATCATCATCAACAATGGAAGAAGACCCAGATTTGCAGCTCATCTTTGTAGAAGATGAAGGAATCAGTTTCGCTTGCGTTTAGCTTTGATAAAAAGATGAAGAAACGAGCTCCAATTGGCAAGAGAAGAAGATGAAATTTGAGAGAGAATTTGGGGATTTAGGGATTTGGGGTTGGATTGGGGGTTTTAGGCTTAAAACGTCGGCGTTTAGTAACTAACAGAGACATTAACGTCGGCTTAACGAGGTTTAGTTTCTCTGTTACGCGATTTAACGTTGTGTTTGATTTGGCCGAGTCAATTTTTTTTATGCCTTAAACGGAAAGTCAACGAAGATTCATGCCTCAAATGGCCGACCTTAGAGTTCATGCTTAAAATGGCCTAAATTTGAAAGTTCGTGCTTTTTATGACATGTTTCCCAAAAATATTTATATTGATATCCAACTAAGATCAACATCATCCTTGGTTGATAATCTGCGACACCTAATCCTCCCTTACTTCACTCCGACTTACAGAGTCGTCCTCTACGACTAAGTTTTCGCCGGCTAAGGCTAGAATTATTATTTGGTATCCGAGATCTGATTCGGGATCCACTCTGATCTTCTCCGATCCGCTACAAAAAAATTCGGATATCCAAGAGAGCCAGATCCGGATAATAAAAATCAATATCCGTCTACAACAGATCTGTATCCGGATAGTTAAATTATTAGGTCCGGATATCCGTATTTGAATCTCTAACCTCTAAATATATTTAAAAATTATATTTTATTGATAATTATGTAATATCTTGAGATTTTTATATATATAAATAATTCAAATTAAATTAAAATATTTTTTTCTAATAATTTTTTTTTACAAAATATTAAATTAAATTTTATTATTATTTTAATTTTTTTAAATTTTTAATATATTTTTTATCCGGATCCGGATATCCGCGAATATCTTAATATTTAGACGATATTCAAAAGTTCGGATATCCAAACATCCCAGATACGAATCTGGATAATTAAAACTCGGATCCGCCGCATCCGGATAAAGATCTGGATATCTCAAAACTATCCGAATATCTGCTTTGATCCAGGATTAGCACCGGCAACGTCAATCTTGGTGCAAACTAAGTCGTAGATGACGATTCTATAAGTCGGAGTGAAGTAAGGGAGGATTAGGTGACACAAATTATCAACCAAGGATGATGTTAATCTCAGTTGGATATCAATATAAATATTTTTACTTTATTAAAGTTTATAAATGTCTTTAGTTCAGTTGGTTTGGTGGTAAACCCCTTACTTGGAAGGTCATGTGTTCAAGTCTTATTGAATGCATTTTTTAAAAGAAATATCAAAACGACGTTGTTTTGATCTCTGAAATAAATAAAAAAATCGACAACCGGCATGCCACGTGTCAGCCATATCATTAATTATTGACGGAAAATTAACACCGTTTACGGTTTTGGTGAAATTGGCCGCATTTCAATATTTTATGTAGTTATAAGCATGGTTCAATAGTTCGTGTATGAATTTTCAGAAAGCATAAAGTTCGTGGAGGAATAGGCCGTTTTCCCTGCAACAAAGGCCATCGTAACAAATTGTAAAAACAAATATTGGAAAACTGTCTACACTTTTTGTTGATCTTATCCATCTACATTTTTTCAAATCATTCTCGGTGAATTAAGTTTTAGTTTAATAGAAATTAAAATATACTCCATTTGAAATTATTATTTAATTCTTTATATAATTATTGTCACAAATAAATTTGAAATCTCTAATTTTAATCTTATTAAGGATTGAATTATCTACTCTTTATTGCAAAAGGATCTCCAAACACCACACATCACATAAATCTCAAACATATTTATTTGTGATACAAAAAAATCATTGATTTCTCCGAACAGAATTTGCACAGATCAATTTGTGGTAAAGCAAACAACAAATTCAATAAACTCACCCAAATGAAGAAGTTTGATTTATCCTATACTTTTTGATTTTTAATTGATTTTCGCAGAGATGTGGAATAATTAGAAACAGAGAGGAGAGTAAAGAAAACGCCGTGGAAGCGCAGAGAAGAAAAAGGATTGTGTTTATCTTAACTCCAAAAATCAAAAATAAAACATGTATTTAGTTTCTTTAGTTATTAAAATATTAAAATATATTCTATTATTTAAATAATAATCAATCCATATGTACATATATACAGTGGCAGAGTTAGCCAAAATTTTTTACGGAGGTCAGTTATAATTTACAACGTATTTTGAGCATATATTTTACAGAGATCATTAAGCTAAATTTTCAACATTTAATTTTTTTTTTAAATTCAAGTACATATAATTTTTTTTGGATTTCACATGGGTCAATTGACCCACCTCTCAATATGCTGCTTCCGCCACTATATATATATATATATATATATATATATATATATGAAAACATCTATTAATACTTTCTCAATATTTTTTATTTATATTTTCATAATTACTTAATATAACTTTCGAGAATCAATTCAATTATTTTTATAAAAAAAATTGAAATATGTTTTCCAAATTTTTAGTATATTTTTTAATGGGTTAGTCAAAAACATTTTTAGTAAATTACAAAATAGATTAAGTAGATGAATTTGTCCATTGACAATCCTATATATAATCATTATTAACATATATTAGATTTTGCATCCATGCTACGCGTGGATAATTTCTTTTAATACTATCATATTGATTAAAATCATATTTAAATAGTTATATTTATTTAGATTTTAATTTATTGAATAAAATTTAGCACCTAAAATTTATCATAAATCATTGAGTTTTAATCTCAAAATTTATATATAGATTTTGAGGTTTTAACAATATTTTTTGTATTTATATATATGTAGTTTAAAAAATATATTATTTTGTTGAACGTTTAACATTTGTATACCAAAATCAACCAAAATATAACAAACTAATTAAATAATTCTTAATTAATATTAACACGAAGAGAAAGTACTATACATCACTTATTAGTCAAAAAATAAGTTTTTTTCATCGGTTGCATCCTTTTTATGTATGTTTTTTATAAAAAAATAATAAATTAAAAATTATTCTCTTTATTTAGCTAGTTTAGTCGATACAAATTTCTGATTTAATCTAAATTTAAAAATAAACTAATAAATTTTGTTTTTGCTTTCATATATATATATATATATATATATTCAGTAAATAAATATAAAATAAAATTTAAAACTAATTTAAAATCACAAAGATCGATAAATTCAATATAAATTTTAGTCAATTTTATCTTAGATTGGTAAATATCAAACCTTTTGTCGAGTAATATATTGTGTGTGATAACTTCTAAATTATTTTCTATTGACAACCAAGAAAAGCAAAAAATTTCTCTTTATTTTACTGTTTAAATGAGTACAAACTATTAAATTAATTTTTTGATATATATTAAAATAGATTTCACAAACTTATTGTCACTTTTAAATTATGTTTAAACCACCACTTCTCTCCACATATTAATATATGTATTGTTTTTTATATTATAGTAAATATTATTTTAATTTAATTATAAATTTAACTATATCTGTTTTATAAGAAAACTGAAAAACAATTTTAAAATTTATTTTCCTTCCTTAATTGATGGCATATTATTTTATATATAAATAAATTTGTATTTTGTTTAAAAAATATTTTTAATTTAATATTATTTTAAATTTTTGTTGTTAATGGAAATTTAATACATAATTTCCTTATTCTTTTATATATATTTATTTAGTAATAATATTAATTTTTAAAAAATTTCTTAATTTTGAATATTAATGTAAACCAGTAGAATTGTCCTTTTTAATCCTATGTGGACACCTTTAGAGGCATTTAGCTTCAACTTTTATTAGTAAATATAATTATAGACGAAGACTTTATTTTAAGCTTTATTTTAAAATGTGATATGTCTTATCTTATTTTTCAAGTTTCTAAACGAATGCAACAACACAACAAAAGGCTCATCAAATATAAAATTTATTTGAAAGCAAACCACCATTTGAAGTGTATCCTCTAACTTTTATTTAATCATAAAAATTAAAATTAAATTTAAAAATAATTTAAAAAATATTACCGGCACATTGTGCGGGTTAATTTCTAATCTACCATGATTTAAATTGCTAACATAACAGAACCACACTACCTCCAACCAATTAATGATATAATCATACGTTTTTATACTTTTTTAAAAATTGTTTTAAAAAATATTGTCATCCACAGGTCTCAAATTTATGTAGATAGTGGTCCGACTCAGCAAAGATCAGAATTCGAAATCCAATAAATTTGAGTTGCCGTAATCAAATAAAATTACTATCTATAATTTAACCATAACCGAGGTTTTATAAAAGCGAGGGTAGATCGTTGTCTCCTTTCTTGCCTACCCAATCTCTCTCTCTCTCTCTCTCTCTCTCTCTCTCTCTCTCTCTCTCTCTCTCTCTCTTAAATAACATCACATGTCACTCACCACCACTCTTCAATCAGATCTCTTCACGAAGATATTATAGAGAGTGTGAGAGAGACACTGTTTCATCTTCAAAATTGCACCGGATATGACTAAGTTACGAGAAGTGGTTTCATTGATCTTTTTCCTCTCTCTGATCCTCTCTCTATGTTCTGCCAAAAAAGAGGAGGCGTATTCTACTACAAGGCTTGTTCAAATGGAGTGCTTGAGCGTCCCGCCTTTGGATTTCGCCGGAGCGGCCAAAACCGCCGTGGACGCGATCAGAAAAGCCGGAGCTTTAGTGTCGAAGCTCGACAAGAAATTGGGGAGGTCCCGAGTGGGCAATGCGATTCTTGATTGTGTTGATCTTCTTGATTCTGCTTCCGAAGAGCTTTCTTGGATCATATCTACTTCTCAGAACCCCAGTGGTATCAATTTTGACACTTTACATTTTTTGTTCTTGCATGCACAAAACCGTTTTTCAAAATAGAAATCTCTAAATTGATCTAAAAATCGGATAATTTAATGTTGAGGAATATGTCCTTCTAGAAGAAGGACCAACTTAAAATACAAATTTACAAAAATCACCAAGTAAAATTCAGTTCACGTGGTCGTGCAGTTTTTTGGCTACATATCTAATGCTGTATACACATTAAAAGGTTAGTTGCCAGCGATTTGTTACCTTCATTAAAAAGGAGCCCTATTAAATTAGTGCCTTTGTGTGCACCGAAATTATTAATACCAAAACGTTGGACCACAATAGTAGCACGAGATGGAGGATAAAAAGGATAATTAGCATACTATTTTAGTAGCTTTAGTACTATTGAATGTTTCTCTACTTTTTATCTTGTTATTAAAAATCTTAAATTTTCCTCCGTCTCAGCAATATATCAGTAACCGACGGAAGAGAACATTACAGAAAGTCCATTGTATTAAGCATCACTTGACACGACCGATCTATTTTTCCTTTTTTTCTTTATGTTTTTCTCAAGTACTATTTCATAACTTTCTTACTTTTTTCTGCTGAATCGGATTCTCATAACTTTTTGTTTAAAAAGAAGAAAATTATATCGTCGGTGATTAATCTACGACATGGAAATAATATTTTTTTTTTTGTTTTTTGATTTTCGGGAATATAATATTTTGCTGGAAAGAAAAACTTGCATTTATGTGGATCTTGGATATTTTATGAATATAGCAACGTCGGTAATGAATTACATTGTCGTTTCTAACTGTAGTTTATGAGGCCAACTCACATGATATGTTTCCAATTATTTGGAGTTTTTGGAAAACAAAAAGACTACACAAAACTCTTTTCGTACCATTTTATATTCTTGTTAAAATTTTATCTGATTTTCTTACGCGAATTTTAAATCTATTTGATTTTCAAGACCTTTTATATCATGCAGGTTTATCAGTAAAGCTTTTTCCAAATAGATTATATTAATTAAATATTTAATTATATTTCAGTATACTTAAAATTAGGTCTACCGAAATACATATCCCCAAAAAATATATGAAAAAAATAAACTCAAAGTGTGTGAAATCAATTCTAATGAAAATATCAGCTCATTAAATCAATTCTAATGAAAATATCAACTCAAACTCAAACTCCACTAAATCAATTTTTTTCACGTATAAATAATTCCAGTTTGTTATTTATTACTTGTTTAACACATGTTCAGACACAAAATCTAATTGAATGCAACATAATGTCACTGTCAGGTAATGACAATAGTACAGGAAACGTGGCTTCGGATCTAAGGACATGGATAAGCGCCGCCCTCTCTAACCAGGACACTTGTCTTGACGGCTTCGAGGGTACTAATGGAATTATCAAAAAAGTAGTGGCCGGTGGTCTCAGCCAGGTCGACAAAACTGTCCGAAATCTACTAACTATGGTTCACTCTCCCTCTAAATCCAAGCCCAATAAAGCTCAGAAAACAACCACAGCTCATAGTAGCTTCAGTAAATTCCCCTCATGGGTAAGTCCTGGTGATCAGAAGTTGTTACAAAAGGATGGTATACCAACGGTAGCTGATGCTGTTGTAGCCGCAGACGGGACTGGGAATTTTACAACAATAAGCAAGGCAGTGTTGGCCGCACCCGACTACGGTACAAAAAGATATGTGATACATGTGAGAAGAGGTGTATATGCAGAGAATGTAGAGATTAAGAAGAAGAAATGGAACATTATGATAGTTGGTGACGGCATTGATGCCACCGTGATCACCAGTAACCGAAGTTTCATCGACGGCTGGACAACTTTCCGATCTGCTACCTTTGGTTAGTAACAACATACCAATTTCTATTCAACTAGTTTATCTAACGTTAATCAAATTATATATACTTTTTCTATTAAAAACGGATTTAACAAAGTCCAAAATAATACAAATAATTCAAATATAACGTATTTTGTAAGACTTCAATTAAGTATATATATATATATATATTTTTTTTTTTTAATTTGTCAAATTGATAACTTTCTATTTTGGAAAAGATCTTTTAAGTCTTCACCATTTATAGTATACATCTTGTAATTTTTTACTTAATGATTCACATGGTTTTGAGTTGTTTATAAAAATAATTGGCAGCTGTGAGCGGAAGAGGATTTATCGCACGAGACATAACATTCCAAAACACAGCAGGACCTGAAAAACACCAGGCGGTTGCGATCCGGTCAGACTCAGATCTCGGGGTTTTTTACCGGTGCGCAATGAGAGGTTACCAAGACACACTCTATGCCCACACAATGCGTCAATTCTTTAGAGAATGCATCATAACAGGCACCGTAGACTTTATATTCGGAGACGCCACAGCCGTATTCCAGGACTGCCAAATCAAAGCCAAACAAGGCCTACCAAACCAGAAGAATAGCATCACTGCTCAAGGACGCAAGGATCCTAATCAACCGACTGGATTCACGATCCAATTCAGCAACATAACGGCTGATACCGACCTACTACCAAACTTAAATACCACCGCTACTTACTTGGGTCGGCCGTGGAAACTGTATTCTAGAACGGTGTTCATGCAAAACTACATTAGCGATGTACTAAAGCCTGAAGGATGGCTCGAATGGAATGGAGATTTTGCGCTGAACACGTTGTACTACGGAGAGTATATGAACAACGGACCAGGGGCTAACCTTGACCGTCGTGTTAAGTGGCCAGGATACCATGTTTTGAATAATTCGGACGAAGCTATTAATTTTACGGTGGCTCAATTCATACAAGGAAACTTGTGGTTGCCTGCAACTGGTATTAGCTACATTGCTGGCCTAGCTTCGTAATTAATGATGTTTGATTGTGCTAATTTATATTATCTTTTCATATTTTATTTATTTATTTCTATTTTATATATAGTTTCTGTGAGAATTGAACTAAATATTATGTGAATTTGATGAAGAGTTATTTAGTAGTATTTTTTTTTTCTTTTTGGTTTGGAAAGTTAAAAGTAATGTGTATCGACCTATGTGATCATCTTTAACAAAACAAAAAACGGACATTGATGTGTTATAATATTTGTTTTTCACTCAGAATGCTTGTCGAAAGCCAAAACTTCTCAATCTTCTGGTTGACAATGAGACAATCAATGCCAAAATTCATAATTCTTCAAACCTGTCCCTTCGGGGACATCCAATAAAATTGGAAGGATACAGAGTAGATTAACATGGACCCTGCGCAAAGATGTCACACACAAATCAAGATATTGTCCAAATTTTTTAAAGAAAACAAAAATTCTTCAAACCTTTTTGAGAAAATATAGTAATAGTTTCTCAATTTCTAAATTATATGAGATTGACTCCCATAGATGATATACATATATTTTACATGATTTTTAGATGGTTTTTAATATCTTATTTTAAGTATTCTTTCACAGTTTTATGGATTAGAGGTAGTTTTCTTGTATTCGTAGTATTTACAGAATTTATAGGTCAAAACATCAAAAAAATATGAATAATGGAGCAAAAGAGCAGCAAATCAGGTTCATGCCATTTTTCCAAACCAAAAAAACGAGTCAAGCACCTAGAGCTCAAAGAAGCAGATTTCTCCAATGTGGACAACACAGATTCATCAGACGTTTCTTGTTTTGTTGAATGCCTTTCCATGCGTGGATTGAGATAAAATTTGGCGATAAGATATAAGTTTTAGTTAGCTTTCATCTAGAATTGGTTTCAAGTCATTTGAAATCAAGGTTAGGAAGTTACATCGATTTTACTGGAAAACATGTCTATATGGCTTGCAAAGGAAGCAAATGCAGGAGTGAGGCCCAAGATCGGCCCTGAGACTTCCTTCTTACCAGATGTCACAACTTTGGGTCAGGAACTCGATCCAAAGATCTAGCTGATGGACCTTGTGCCTCTGTAAATGAAAATTTTATTTTTTTGACCAAAACCTAACCTTAGCCAACATAGGGTTTTTCTAAATCCTATATTTACTTGTTTTGGCCTCCTGCATCAGAGAGAAACCAGAGCAGCCACGCTTATCATACAAAAACCACAGCTTTTTTTTTTCTTTCTGTTGAAAAACAACTTCGGAAATACGTTCGTATATGTGTAAAAACTAGAGAAGAAAGACTTAGAGAGAGAGTTAGATAGAGAATGAAGAACAATATCAAAGATCTCTTATGATTTCTCTCACTAGAATCACCTATATATAGTGGCCATGTCCAAGCCCACCTATATATAGTGGAGAAGCTTGGAGACAAACCTTTAGAAACTTGGGGACAAAGTGATCTAGGGGGGATGAATGTCTAAGGCCATGTCCAGTGGGGGTTCATCCCCACATTTGGGCTCGAAATCATATGCAAAACTGAATTAAAAAAAAGGAAAAAAGCCCATTTTAGACGGATCGGTTCATCCGGTTGAACCTGATGAACCCGTCTCTTATCCACGTGTCATGAGGGGATTGGAGGAAAATCGGGGAAATTTTGGGGGAGGAAAAAAAAACTATCGGCCCAATATTCATTCTCTTTCCCCGATAATTTTTTCTTTCTCTCGTTCCCTTCTCCGGCGATATTTTGAGAATCCGTCGATTCCGTTCAAACCGGCGAATTTTTCTGGTGTGTTGGTAATCGTAGCAACGCGTTTCCGTCTGAACGTCAAGGTAATCCTTTGGTCTTCAGTTCTCGGTTTATTTTTTAACGAATTCGTAGGATAGGGTTTCATATATTTGGGGAAAAACTAGAATTCCAAAATCGGTGTTTTTTTTTGGGGATTTTGGGTGGATTACGGATGCTTGCCTCTTAATTGATACCCGTTATCGGTTTTCCGTATGGTATTTGACTGATTTACATGAATTTCAAATCGACGAAATTAGGGTTTTTTGATATGGGGGAAAATTTTTGGGGCTTTTCTTTCGGGGCTGCAATTTGGGTAGAAAACATAGTTTTTATTGCGGTTTAGCTCTATTTCGGATTGGATTGCATGCTTGATGATATATGTGATGGATTTGTTGCGATGAACTTTAGGGTTTCATGAAATTTGGGGAAAATTTTGTGTGCCTTTATTTTTGGGTTTCATTTGCGGTTTATTACAGTTGCATTGCGGTTTATTTTTGGGTTTCATTTGCGGTTTCTTCCATTTGCCTCAGTTGGGTTTAGGTTTAGAGGGTATATCGATGATGCTTCATATATGCAGTATGATTTTCTTTTGAAATATGTGATCTGATTTGATTTATGTGAGTGGCATCATTCGGGTTTAGGTTTAGGTGATGTTGAACTGAAATTGTTGTAGTTTACTCAATCGTTGTAGTTGTTTGCCATTCTATTTGTATTGTTCTGATCCCCTTCTGTTTTGGGCAGAAGATGCAAAGCAACAGTTCAGTCCCGTACTGGGAGAAATCCCTCATGAAGCAGAAAAAGGAAATTGAGAGGGTTAAGAGCCCGCTATACAGTACAGGTCGTTGTAGTATTATGCTTAAATATGTTGTTTCCGAGTTTAGACTTGTAATCTACTAATTTTTTTTCTTTGACACATTTGATTAGGCCCCGTTGATGGAGATATGAGTTATTGGGAGGCTCTGCTTTTTGGATCAGCAGGATCGCCTTACGAGAACGGAGTCTTCTAAATTGCCATTCACTTTCCTCCCAAATACCCGTTCAAGCCACCCAAGGTCTTCTTCAGAACAAAGATCTTTCACCCCAATGTAGGAGATCATGGACATATCTTCCTACGGATGCTCACTACCGACTACTTCTCGCCCAGGTACACCATCCATAAGATTCTCACAAAAATTCATGAGATGCTGAGCAACCCAGAATTGGGTGAGGGGGACTACTACGATGAAGAGAAAGCGAAGATGTATAAGGAAGACAAGTCGGAGTTTGATGAAAGAGCTCGGGAATGTACGTTGGAGCACGCTAGGGCTTAGGGTTTAGTTCATCTATCTTTATCTTTTATATTCTTTTGTTATCCACTACTTTGGAGCACGCTTAAACTCTTGAAAAGAATTCAATGTATTTTGTGAATTATGCTATAGTTTGAATTTAGCAATATATCAATATATTTTAAAAATTGTGTGTTTGAATTTTTTCTTAATAAATTGTATTCATCTGCAATATATTGTATTCTTTTTTTTTTTAATTAGTGATTTTTATTTTAATTACAAAAAATATTTTCAAAAAATAAATAAATAAAATATCCGGATGAATCCCATTAACGGATTCAGTACTGGAACCTCGAACTTAACCAGAGTTCATCACTACTGCACATGCCCTAAGGGGGATGAATGCTCAAAGGGGATGAATACTTAGAAGCTAAGAAGCTTGGGGAGAAATCTATCCAAATGTATAATCAATATATTTATAACACTCCCCCTTGATTATCCATTTATATTGACGCGGTGCGCGTGTACTGCCTCATTAAAAACTTATCATGGAAAACCCGTTTTGGGACAAAACCATGACAAGGGAAAAAGACTGCAGTAAAGCTCCCCCTGGAAAAGACATATATTTTTCTCTTCACAAGTCTCGTAGATGACGCATTCCAATCTTGTAAATATGTTTTCTGAATACTGCAGTAGGAAGCGCCTTTGTGAAGAGGTCTGCTGCATTGTTGCTTGAATAAATGTATTGAACATTGATCTCTCCGTTTTTCTCGAGTTCTTGAGTATATGAAAGAAATCTTGGAGGAATATGTTTTGTTCTGTCGCTCTTGATATAACCTTCTTTAATTTGGGCGACGCAAGCAGCATTGTCTTCAAATACTTTTGTGGGTTCTCTATCTTTGATTATTCCGCTTGATTCTTGTATGTGTTGAGCCATTGATCTTAACCACACACACTCTCTGCATGTTTCGTGAAGCGCAATAATCTCTGCATAATTTGAAGAAGTGGCGACCAAAGTCTGTTTTTGAGAACGCCACGAGATCGCCGTTCCACCAAATGTGAAAACATATCCTGTTTGCGATCGTGCTTTATGCGGATCTGACAAGTATCCTGCATCTGCAAAACCAACTAGACCAACCTCAGGGTTTCTTGAATAAAATAGGCCTAAGTCAATCATACCTTGTAGATAACGGAAGATGTGCTTTATTCCATTCCAATGTCTCCGCGTAGGGGATGCACTGTATCTTGCAAGTAGGTTGGTAGCAAAGACTATATCTGGTCGAGTACAATTTGCAAGGTACATTAATCCGCCAATAGCGCTCATATAAGGTACTTCAGGACCTAATATTTCTTCGTTATCTTCACAAGGTCGAAATGGATCCTTGTCAACATCAAGCGATCTATTGACCATTGGAGTACTCAAAGGAGTCGCTTTATCCATATTTAAGCGTTGTAACACCTTTTTGGTGTAATTTGATGGATGCACAAATATTTTATCTTGGAAATGCTCTATCTGGAGCCCTAGACAATGTTTTGTCTTTCCAAGATCTTTCATTTTGAACTCTTCTTTCATATGAGTTCGTGCATCATCAATCTCCTTTTGAGTTCCAATTATGTTCAGGTCATCAACATATACAGCACTGATCACAAATCCCGATGCGGATTTCTTAATAAATACACAAGGGCATATCGCGTTGTTGATGTATCCTTTACTCAACAAGTATTCACTTAAGCGATTATACCACATGCGTCCAGACTGTTTTAGTCTGTAAAGTGAGCGCTGTAGTTTGACCGAACATATTTCCTTAGATGCTTCCGGCATCTTTGATCCTTCTGGGATCTTTAATCCTTCTGGGATTTTCATGTATATGTCACTATCAAGTGAACCATATAGGTATGCAGTCACCACATCCATCAGGTACATCTCTAAACTTTTAGATGCCGTTAAGCTCATTAAGTACCTGAATGTGACTGCATCCATAACCGGAGAATATGTCTCTTCATAATCAATCCCCGGTTTTTGAGAAAAACCAAGCTTGTGCAACGAGTCGGGCCTTATACCTTATGACCTCGTTTTTCTCAT